GGGTGATGAAGTGGGGGGGGGGGGGATGCACGTCCTTCGAAGAATCTCTTCCCTCCGCCAGCCGGCGGCGGCGAGTGCACCAAACCTCATGGGGCATTTCCAGGACTCATTTGCAACCCTTGTTTTTAATCAGATGTAGTATAAAATTAGAACCCAGGGAGTTTTTGTTTAAAGTCCTTAATTAATGCATCATTCATATGTGCAACCGCAGTAGGGTACACTTAAAACCTAAGGATGTTGGATGTTCATTCATTTGTCTCCGGAACAAGGGATTCCTTTTGATCTTGGAAACCAGAGTTTTGGGTTTTTTAAAAAGAGTATATTTCTGACTGGACCTTGATGCCCTGACCCGGAGGGCACAGGCTAGCCACATTTTGTCAGATCTCGGAAGCTAAGCAGGGTCAGCCTCGGTTGGTACTTGGATGAGAGACCATCGAGGAATTCCCCGGTTGCTACGCAGAGGCAGGCCATGGCGAGCCTCCCAAGGTTTTTAAAAAATTGGAACAGGGAGTGCAATTCTGTGGGCCCCCAAATAAGGCGCCCCCATCCTCCATCGTTTCCAGTGGTGGGGGGGAAAGAGCCAAAAAAAAAGAAAAAAGGACAAAACAATAAGGAACAAAAAATAATGCCGATAAGATGAGAAGAAGAAGAAGGGATTGGATTTATACCCTGCCCTTCAGTACCCAAGGGAGTCTCAGAGCGGCTCACAAACTCCTGTCCCTTCCCCTCCCCACAACAGACACCCTGTGAGGTAGAAGAAGAAGAAGAGATTGGATTTATACCCCGCCCTTTACTACCCAAAGGAGTCTCAGAGCGGCTCACAAACTCCTGTCCCTTCCCCTCCCCACAACAGACACCCTGTGAGGTAGAAGAAGAAGAAGAGATTGGATTTATACCCCGCCCTTTACTACCCAAAGGAGTCTCAGAGCGGCTCACAAACTCCTGTCCCTTCCCCTCCCCACAACAGACACCCTGTGAGGTAGAAGAAGAAGAAGAGATTGGATTTATACCCCGCCCTTTACTACCCAAAGGAGTCTCAGAGCGGCTCACAAACTCCTGTCCCTTCCCCTCCCCACAACAGACACCCTGTGAGGTAGAAGAAGAAGAAGAGATTGGATTTATACCCCGCCCTTTACTACCCAAAGGAGTCTCAGAGCGGCTCACAAACTCCTGTCCCTTCCCCTCCCCACAACAGACACCCTGTGAGGTAGAAGAAGAAGAAGAGATTGGATTTATACCCCGCCCTTTACTACCCAAAGGAGTCTCAGAGCGGCTCACAAACTCCTGTCCCTTCCCCTCCCCACAACAGACACCCTGTGAGGTAGAAGAAGAAGAAGAGATTGGATTTATACCCCGCCCTTTACTACCCAAAGGAGTCTCAGAGCGGCTCACAAACTCCTGTCCCTTCCCCTCCCCACAACAGACACCCTGTGAGGTAGAAGAAGAAGAAGAGATTGGATTTATACCCCGCCCTTTACTACCCAAAGGAGTCTCAGAGCGGCTCACAAACTCCTGTCCCTTCCCCTCCCCACAACAGACACCCTGTGAGGTAGAAGAAGAAGAAGAGATTGGATTTATACCCCGCCCTTTACTACCCAAAGGAGTCTCAGAGCGGCTCACAAACTCCTGTCCCTTCCCCTCCCCACAACAGACACCCTGTGAGGTAGAAGAAGAAGAAGAGATTGGATTTATACCCCGCCCTTTACTACCCAAAGGAGTCTCAGAGCGGCTCACAAACTCCTGTCCCTTCCCCTCCCCACAACAGACACCCTGTGAGGTAGAAGAAGAAGAAGAGATTGGATTTATACCCCGCCCTTTACTACCCAAAGGAGTCTCAGAGCGGCTCACAAACTCCTGTCCCTTCCCCTCCCCACAACAGACACCCTGTGAGGTGGGCGGGGCTGAGAGAGCTCTGACAGAAACTGCTCTTTTTTCAAGGACAGCTCTTATCAGAACTACGGCTTGCCCAAGGTCATCCAGCCAGGTGCAAGTGGAGGAGTGGGGAATCAAACCCAGCTCTCCCAGATTAGAGTCCACGCACTTAACCACTACACTACACTGGCTCTCACACCAGGCTATTTTTTTGGCTCAGATAGAGCTGAATGCACACCCCTACTGCATTGTCATACGGACTAGAAAGTTGATGTGTTAAACATAATCTTACAAGAGGGTGCATTCTGCCCTGAATGCTCTTTCGGTGCTTTTTCTGTGATCCCTAAGAAGCTGAGCATTAACCTAACTCACCACGTGGGTGGTGTGGCTCTCGTGGCCTGGGATACCGGCCTCCTGTCCCTCAAACGCGCACGGCAGATCCAATGCTCCCTCTAAGCTGTGGAGTCTTGTGAGCAAAAAGTCTCCTTTGTGAGCTACCGTTGTGAGCGAGCGATTTGGCTGCTGCATAAATCAGTTTGATCTGGAGCGATCCTTCCCGAGCTGAGACAAAAATGTGTGAGCCGGAGGCTAAAAAACTGAGCTGGCTCACACTCACTCAGCTCAGAGGGAACACTGGATCGTGTGACTCTGTCAGTGGAGAAAGGGGAACAATCGGATTGTTGCTGTGGTTTTTGTGTTTTTTGTTTTTTTGAAATTTGGAAGTTCAGCAGCTGTTGAGAACGGCAGGTATTTAATCACGGGAAAGTCGCGCTGGAGGTGAAAACTCTCCGCATCGGAAGGAAATGTCATAAGCGTCGCTGGGAGACGGGCGATCTCTATCTTGGCAGCGGTTTTGGCGCGAGCCGCGCATTCAGAGGCGAGACGCAGCCAAGGTGAAAGGAAGGGAAGCCGGAGAATCAACAAGCCAAGTGGAAATTGGATTTTTAAACCAACAGTGGAAAGCGTAAATAAATTGCAGCGTACAGAGTCGCAGGGAGAGGAGGGGGGGGACGACAACAACTGCCCATCAATTGCGTTTAAAATGCGGCTGTGGGTGTTGGCGGGTGTCCGTCAAAGCTGTGAGCATTTCAGGCAAACAGACAAGAAGCGGGGACGCACTTTGGAGTTGTCCACAGTGAAGACAGCAGAGGAGGAGGAATGGACTTGGATGTCCTGTGTGGATTGGGGTCACCTTCCTCAGAGCATCATTTTCTGGGAACAGCTAGTCCGGCAGCACCTCAGAGAGCAACAAGATTTTGGGGGGGAATGGTCTTTCGAGCGTCAAATCTCCCTTCGTCAGATATGTCAGAGTCTCAACGGCTCATACCTGGAAACCTTGTTGGTCTGTAAGGTGCTACTGGATAGAAGAACATCAGAAGAGCCCTGCTGGACAATACCAGTGAGGGTCCATCTAGTCCAGCATCCCGTCTCACATTGTGGCCAGACAGTTCCTCTGGAGGCCCGACAACAGGGGCACGGAGGCCGAGGCCTCCCAATGTTGTTGCCTCCTGGCGCTGGGATCCAGAGGTTTAGTGCCTCTGAATGTGGAGGTTCCCCTCAGTCACCGTGGGTAGGAGCCATTGATAGACTGATCCTCCATGAATCTATCTCGTCCCCTTTTAACGCTGTTTATTCCTGTGGCCATCGCGGCATCCTCTGGCAGCGAGTTCCACATTTGAATCACTCTCTCTGTGTAAAGTGGTGTTTCCTTTTGTCCGCCTGAACCTACTGCCCGTCAGCTTCACTGGGTGTCCTCGAGTTCTGGTATTTTGGGAGAGGGAGAAAAAGTTCCCCTTGTCAACACTCTCCACCCTGTGCATAATTTTATAAACCTCTATCATATTTCCCCCTTCGTCGTCTCTTTTCAAAAGTGGAAGGTCCCAGGCTCTTCATCCTTTCCTCCTAGGGACTTGAAATTAGCTCTGCGTGCCAAAATGGCTGCTCTTTTAAACTTTTTATTTGCAGCAGTGTCCTGGGACAGACGCCAAGGGAAGCGCTGGCGTCCAGTGGGACATCTGGGGACACGCGGGACCCCGCGCTCCTTGTACGGCCGGTCGACTTTGATTCCCTTCGAGGGCTGGTGAAACATGCCGTTTTTTATTTTCACAGCTGCAGATCGCCAAGCAGAAGGGAGAGATCCTGGGCGTGGTGATTGTGGAGTCCGGCTGGGGATCCATCCTGCCCACGGTGATCCTGGCCAACATGATGAACGGGGGGCCGGCGGCTCGCTCGGGGAAGCTCAGCATCGGGGACCAGATCATGTCCATTAATGGGACCAGTCTGGTCGGGCTTCCTCTGGCGACGTGTCAAGGGATCATCAAGGTACCCAGCCTCCCCGCCTTTGGCCACCTCGGTGTATTTCTTAAAAAATGCCTCCCCGAAGGAAAAAAGCGTAATTGTCGCTTTGACCTTGGCAGTGCCCGTGCGCCTTACAGACGGGAAGTGAAGACCCTGGAAGGGTTAACTGGGTTTTGCAGAGGTCGCCGTGATCGATTGTGGGTCAGGCCTCCTTGTAGGCCTAGAGGGTCGCGTGGAAATTTTCTTAGCGAAAGGGCCACCACCCTGACCTGGATTGCTACGCAGAGGCAGGCGATGGCAGGCCACCTCTGTTCATGTGCCCTGATGTGGATGGCCCAGGCTAGCCTGATCTTATCAGATTTAAGAAGCTAAGCAGGGTCGGCCCTGGTCAGCACTTGGACGGGAGACCACCAAGGAAGTCCAGGGTTGCTACGCAGAGGCAGGTGATGGCAGACCCACCTCTGTTTGTCTCTTGCCTTGACCTGGATGGCCCAGGCTAGCCCGATCTCATCAGATCTCGGAAGCTAAGCAGGGTCGGCCCTGGTTAGTACTTGGATGGGAGACCGCCCGGGAAGTCCAGGGTTGCTACGCAGAGGCAGGCGATGGGAGACCACCTCTGTTCATGTGCCCTGACGTGGATTGCTACTGAGTTGTGCTAATGAGCTCCTGCACCTCTTTTTCTACGAAATGATCCGATTAAGTCACAAAGGTCTCTGGAGGGCCCATGAGGGGGTGATGTGTAATTGAAATGTGAACAGATGAAGGAAGTACAGAGGATGCTAGCCGAGGCGGCTACGAACAGTTTTGCCCAGGGGCGTAGCCAGAAAATTTTGGTTGGTGGGATGTGGGGAAATCTGAGGGGGCACCCTGGCTCCACTGTGACCCCTACTTCTCATCTAGTCCTTTCGACTGGAGAGACTCAATTCTGGGCTGCTTTTCTGTGTCAGCCGGGGGGGGGGAACACTCTCTCTTTTGCATTTTGCAAATTTTATTTTATTTTTTGCAATTTTATTTTCATTGTTAAAAACCGATTTATTTTTTCGTCTGGAAAAAAAAAGAAAACGAGGCTGAAACGTCCCTGACTGTGCCCGGGGTCATTCTGAAAACCCCACACGCATCTTACTTTTTACTTTTAAAAAATATTTGTTCGTGGGGGGGGCACTCATCCGTGGGGGGCATTGCCCCCAAATACAGGCCTGGTTTTGCCTCGTTCGCAGTTGCGAACACGGAGAACGGTTTGCAAAGACTGGCTAAAACCAGAAATGCCTTGCAGGGTCTTAAGAATCAGACGCAAGTGAAGCTGAACATCGTCAGCTGCCCGCCAGTCACCACCGTCCTGATCAAGAGACCCGACCTGAAATACCAGCTGGGTTTCAGCGTACAGAATGGAATTGTAAGTCTAGTTGTTTCCCTCCCCTTCTCTAGTGTTCAAATGTGAGAGGACCAAATACTTTCCCCCTGTCTGCACCGTATAGAGCTAAGGCACCGCGGGGTTTTTCACTGACTCCTCCTCCTCCTCTTCTTCTTCCCAAAGTACAGTAGCTTCAGTGTAGTCATTCTAGAAGAAGAGATTGGATTTATACCATGCCCTTCACGACCCGAAGGTATCTCAGAGCGGCTTACAGTCTCCTCTCCCTTCCCTTCCCCACAACAGCGGGGCTGAGAGAGCTCTTTTGAGAACTGCTCTTTCAGGGAACAGCTCTAACAGAACTGTGGCTTGCCCGAGGTCATCCAGCAGCTACAAGTGGAGGAATGGGGAATCAAACCCGGTTCTCCCAGATTAGAATCCACGCACTTAACCACGACACCAAACTGGCTTTTAGTTCCTAAGCTTCTAGCTTGATAACCCTGGAGAAATCCAGTCGTGTGCACACTCGCTCATTCGTCTGTTTATTATGATCCAGGCATCAGCCAACACCAGCATAGCATTGGTGTTGAACGCCAATCAAACATATAAGCCAGTGATGCGGGTGCTCACTTTGCATCAGTTAAGTCTTTGACCCCAGACTCCCTTTTTGGTTTCCGTTCAGTTCACCACTAGGACGCTCCCTCTTTGGAATGTGTCCGTTTGACTGTTCTGTGGCACCATCTAGTGGCCAGGAGATGTCCCTGCAACCAGGCAAAGGCCGCTCTTGGGTGTCTGCTGTTTTCGAACGTGTGCGTTAGTAAAGCTTCCGTCTTAGGGCGACCTCCAAAATGCCTGACCGTTGACAGTGTCGCTCAGGTCTTGCAAACTGAGGGCCGTGGCTTCCTTGACGGAGTCAACCCACCTCATATTTGTTAGCGGGCAGTCCTCAAATGGAGAAACTTCAAGGGGAGATTGCAACATGAGATCGCTGAACTCGAGCTCATTCACAAGCTCAGAGCAATGGATCCCTCCCAGGGGGGATGAATAAAGGCAGATGCTAACCAAGCCCGTAGCCAGGATTCTACGGCTTGTGGGGCAAATTTCTTTCCCCCCTGGTGGGGCTGAAGTCCCCCATGCAGAAAGAAAAGCCAGAATTCTGAGGATTGTGATTCAGCGACTGTGGAATCGAGCCTTTTAAAATCAAAGCTTAGAGGCTTCTGCAAATCTTTGAACGAGAGTGGGACAATAGCAGGCTGAGAAGGGAGGCGGGGTGGGACAATAGGTTTTCTGATAGACGGTAGGTGTGGCACTGGAAATGAGTATCTGGGTTTGGCCAGTAAGCTCACTCCAATTTTTATAAAAACACATAAAATTTTATTTACAGAAACAAAGGACAAACAACACATGGATAGGGGAAAGAATGCATAGAGTTCAGCAAGGAATGCAAACCAAAACAAAAAACCTAGCTGGCTATTCTACTC